ACCAAGAAACAGGATGCTTGCCAAGGTATATAACATATGCACAGGTAGACTTGAAGTCACCAGGATTACCAGCCCAATCGGCATCACTAAAGGCATGAAGAGACCGAGAATTAATCGCGGCAAAGAAAATTCCAGCCTCACGAGTGCCACTCAAGTATCAAAGGACACGTTTGGCCGCAAGCCAATGCTCATCCGTTGGAGCATGCATAAATTGAGAAAGCTTGTTTACGGCAAAACAAACATCCGGTCTCGTCAAGGAAAGATACTGAAGGCTACCGATCACCGTACGAAAGTCTGATGAATCTGAGAGTAAAGATCCCGACTGAAGGGTTAGCCGAGAAGTGGACGCCATTGGCGTTGCCACTGCCTTGGAATCCGACATCTTGGTGCGAGTAAGCAAGTCATTAATGTACTTGCGTTGGCTGATGAATAATCCCTTAGATGTACGTGTCACTTCCACTCCAAGGAAGAATGACATATTACCAAGATCTTTAATTGAGAATCGAGCTCCAAGCGAGGAGATGAATGAGTGAATGTGATCCAAATTGCTGCCGGTAACAATAAGGTCGTCAACATAGACGAGAACTAAGAGAATGTCATCATTGTTGCGGCAGAAGAAAAGAGATGCATCGGCAAGGGAGTTCATAAAGCCGTAATCTAGTAGAAATCCACGTAGCTCCGAATACCAAGCGCGAGGAGCTTGTTTAAGCCCATATATAGCTTTATCAAGCTTACACACAAAATTCGGACGATCACGATCCACAAACCCTGGAGGTTGAGACATGAACACCTCATCATTGAGACGACCTTGTATGAAAGATTATTAACGTCGAGTTGCCGAATGGACCAATGATGTGTCACGGCAAGGCTGAGAACCAAACGAATGGTTGTGGGCTTCACCACCGGACTGAAAGTGTCATGAAAATCCACACCTGGACGTTGATGAAAACCTTTGGCAACTAAACGAGCCTTGAACCGATCAACCGGACCATCTGGATTGGTCTTAACCCAGAAACCCCATTTGCAACCCACAGTGTTTGCAGCAGAGTCAGGTGGTACAAGTTCCCATGTTCCATTACGGACGAGGGCATTGAACTCATCAACCATAGTAGAGCGCCACTGAGGGTCCTTGAGCGCCTGTGAATCCGAGAGCGGTTCCTTGGGAACACAAGTCAAAGATGCAGTCAAAGTGAGTTTTTGCACAGGTTTAACTGTATTGTTCTTCCCTCGAGTGATCAAAGGATGTCTATTCCTTGGCGGAGACGCAACCGAACTAGCCAGAGAAGCTATGTCGGCAGATAACGGATCAGGCGAGGACGCAGCTGGAACTTCTTTCGAGCGTTCCAACGGCGAAGGAGCTACACATAGGGGCGAATGTGATGGAGATGGAGAGACCGGCGGAGTAAAGGGAATTACAGGGAAAGCAAGGGAATCCGACGAAGTAGGAGCTTCGCACGGAGACGAGACATCCAAAGAATGACGAGAAGGTCGAAATCGAGAGAGGTCCGCAAAGGGAAAAATGGAGCGGTGAAAAATGACGTGACGAGACACAAACAGTCGAGAGGTGAGGATGTCAAAACAAACGTAAGCATTTTGAGTGAGAGAATGCCCGAGAAAGACACAAGGAGAAGATTTTGGGTCAAGTTTGTGTTAGTTGTAAGGTCGAAGCCAAGGGTAACGCAAACAACCGAAAGTTTGAAGCTTTTCATAATTCGGAGACAAATCGAAGAGAGACTCATAAGGGCAAGACATCGAAAGTATCGGTGTGGGAAGACGATTAATGAGAAACACGGCCATGGTAAAAGCAAAAGACCAAAAAGTGATAGGGAGAGAAGCATGATGAAGAAGAGAGAGACCGGTTTCAACAATATGTCGATGTTTTCGTTCAGAGATACCATAGTGTTCGGGGGTATGAGGAGGAGTAGTAAAATGAGAGATACCTTGGGTAGCAAGAAAAGACCGTAAAGCAATGAATTCACCTCCATTATCGGTGTAGATGGAGACAATGGAAGATGAAAATTTCGACTCGACCAATGATTTAAAACAAATAAAGGTTTCCCGAACTTGAGACTTGTGTTTAAGAGGATATAACCACGAATAACGTGTGAAGTGGTCAACAAATAAAACGTAATATTTGAAACCATCAATAGAAAGAATGGGTGAAGTCCAAACATCTGAGAAAATAAGTTCGAGGGGTCTAGAAGAAGAAATAGAGGACTCTGAAAATGGGAGTTTATGACTTTTATTACGAGAGCAAGAATCACAAAAAAAAGAAGATGAATCCCGAGACAATGGTAATTTGAACTTGGACACAACATGATGGACAGTAGAAAACGACGGATGACCTAAACGATAGTGCCACTCAGACAACGAGGGCTTAAGCCACGAGAAAGAGACATGAGGAGACGAGATGAAAGAGGAAGCCAACCACTCATACACACCATTTTTAAGCTTTCCCTTGAAAAGAGCCGCCCCCGTGTGTAGATCATTCACCTGAAACGAATCAGAAAAGAATTCAACCGAGACCGAGTTAGAATCGCATAATCGGGAAACCAAAATAAGTTTCTTATGCATTGTCGGAACACAAAGAACATGTGTAAGAGACAGAGGGCGAGTCGAGGAAGAGGTCGAGAGAAAACCCGTATGTGTAATGGGAAGACTCGACCCATCTCCAAGAATCACTTCGTCACCGCCGCGGTATGGGCTGTGCAAAGACAAGGTGTCGAGATACGACGTAATGTGATGTGAAGCTCCGCTGTCAACAAGCCAATGAGAGGCATCGTACTGCTGCATAACCGTGTGATTAACACGGGTTTGCCAAGGCCGAGGAGAATATGGCGGAAATGGTGAAGACTGAGGAGAGCCGCCGAGAATGTCTGAGGCAGAAATAAGCCGGAATTGAGGACACCGCTGAGTCGAGTGTCCTTGAACACCATAGGCTTGACACTTGCCGAGATAGCCACAAGAAGAGCCATGAGTGGGGCGATGCATATGATGGCCTCGGGGAGGACCATTGCCACGAAAGGCTGGTCGTGACCGTGGGTTGGTAACATTGGCCGTGACAGGGAAGAGATCGTGACAGGGAAGAGAGATGGCGTCACAACAGGGGAGATGGCGAGCTTGGCTCTGATACCATGAAAGTGTAAACGTTCGAATGAATATTATTCAACAGATTGTACACATATATATACTCGTACATATATGCTTTGAAGTTCGCATAATATGGTATTTACAAATAGGGGAAATCGCCATAAAAACCCTGTACTCTTTTCAGGTCAACGAAAAAACCCTGTACTTTTTTGCTTACCAATTAAACCCTATACTTGGTATGATTAACCAATAAAATCCCAAACTTGTTAATAATTCACCGAAAACCCCCCGCGTCTGCCAACTCAAATAAAAATGATGATGTGGCAATGACTTGGCTTCCAAATCATGTACACATCATCAAAATTATGACACATCATCATTTCAAACAAAAATAAATTATATAATTTATTTAAATTAATTTATATACATCTAAATTCA